ATAAAACTTGTAAAACAGACTAGACCTTGTACTTGTGAATGTCTGTGTGGTCACCATCCATGGTTTGTATGTGTCCCTAAAAACCCTAAATCTGAAGTAAATCACAGAGATTACTTTTGCTCTGTTAAGCTTGAAACTATAGTAACAAGAGCCAAAACCACAGTGGTGTAAAAGCACATTAAAAATCCACTTTCGATAAAATAAAAGGCTCCAACTGCAATCCTAGCTAAGGCTCAGATTTTATCACACATATGTTTAATAGAAATCATGGACAGGGGATGTGCCATAAGCAAAAAATCATGCAAGCTGTGACCTGTCTGTGATTTTTTACTAAAACTATCCCAAACAAGGAGGGAGGATGATCCAGCACTGACAGCAGCTGGAAGTTCTGGATTCCCTCTTGCCCCCACAACACTTGGGAGCTTTGAGGTCTCACCTCTTGCAGCCTGAAGCAACAGAGATGCTGCGGGATCCTTTTGCCACCTGCTGTGGCTGGGCAGTACAGGGTCCCTCTTGCTGCAAGGAACCCCCAAGGAGCTCGATGGCCCCCACCATCAGTGGCAGCTGAGAGCTGCAAGGCTGCCTGCTGACAGCTCCAGCCCCGGGGCAGAAAAAGTCACAGATATCTCTGGAAGTCATTGATTCTGTGATCTACATGACATAATCATGCCTTAGTCATAACTCTTAAGAGTCAGTGACAATTTATGTAAGAATAGGAGAGTTGCTTTGGTATTTGGAGTCAAAATTTTCCTGCTTACACTGCCTGCTGCCAGAAACTCCAATGGCACTATATTTCAATGGTAGTGTACATGCAGTATTACGCAAAGTGCTTCTGGATGAAAGGTGCTATATGAATATGAGTTATCATATCAACACTGCAGCAGTGTAACTTTCATTATGTCATCAATATTTCAGTCAGAGTTGGGTGTAAGGATATGCTGAGGCACGGCATGCTTCAGGCGATGGCAGCTGTCTAATTTGACGTGAATGCACCGTGCTGTGGTAAGGTAAATAAGATTAAAATCAATGTTCACATTTGGCCAGTGGCATTTTGGATGCCCCTTGTCATGTAAGTGAATATTTTGTAGTTTTAACATTTATTTGGTTCTTGTTATGTTGTCTATTAATGCCGAATGTTGCGGTCTTTTTCTCAAATGTAGGTCACTTTTAACAAAAATTAAAGAAGCTTCGGGGGGTAGCTGAGTTAGTCTGTACAGGAAAAAACAACAAATGGTCTGATGGTACTTTATAGACTAACAAAACATGTAGATGGTATCATGGGCTTTCGTGGGCACAGCCCACTTCTCCAGGTGGATCTGAAGAAGTGGGCTGTGCCCATGAAAGCTCATGATACCGTCTACATGTTTTATTAGTCTATAAAGTGCTACCAGACCAAAATTAAAGAGCACTGACAGAACCACAGTTTGTTCCAATTGTATCATGACTGGATAAAGCTGAAAGATTATGATTTCAGAAATGTGAGGGCCTCAGTATCTGTTCTGGCTGGACCCATTCTCAGTGATAGACTGATGTTGGTTTCAGTTCCTGGTCAATGTTTTATTACAGTTTAAATAGCTGAAATAGTTCTGGATGAGCCTTGAACCTGCGGAGAACATTAGGATTCCCATGATACGCATTCTACAGAAATGCTATTGTGTTCTTACACCAGACACATCACAGTTAGGCTGAACACATTCCTAGAGTGCATTATGCAATGTGACATCTGTAATGTGGCTAATCATTCATCTTCCCATCTCTTCTTCTCTACTCATCCGAGGGAAAAGTATATGCAATGTCTAGTTTTGGCATTTACATCCCCATGGAGGTGCTTCTGGCACAGGGCACTAACTTCAGGGAGCAGGAGCACCACACTCCTCTCCATTTGCTTCATTGTCTCCTGGTAACAGAGCCCTGCATGTCAGTGGATACCACTTTCTATTTGCAGATATCCACCGCAATGGGTAGACATTGTATCTGCTTAGGGGTCTATTGATTAGTTCAGAGATAAAAAGCACCCAAAAGAGAATTGATCCAAGTGCAGTTTCCCCTCACTATTCATTATGTGCTTCTTCCAGCAAACAGGATCTCATTGTAAACAATTAATATGGACTCCTGCCACCTCTGTCAGGTAGAACAGTTATATCTTGTGGTCAACCATGTTGCATAGCGTAGAGAGGTCCAGGAAGATGAGAATGAATATCTGTCATCTCCACTGACAGCATGAGATCATCTATCAGTGTCACTAATGCAGTTTTATTTTTGTCCTGGCCTGAATCCAGGTGTAGAATGTCCTGATTATACCAGGTGTATAATGTATGTTTGAATTAGAGGAGTTTGTAGTTGGCATTTGATTAGCTTGTCTCCGTCAGTTTGCTCAGTAATGGAACTTTTGTCATGGGTGATTGTTGGCTAGAATTGATGTATCCAAGATGGGTTTCTTCAGTGTTGGTTGGATTACTGGATATTTGAAGGAGGAAATAAGAGATAACATCTCTGAATGAGACATTGACCAACTGTCTATGACTTTGATTCACAAGCCAAGATGTGAGGGCATGGATCAGGTTCATATGTTTTGGACTGGGACTCTTTTATGGTGTCTTGAGGAATGAATGTACTGAACTCTGGGAATGACAGGAGGCTGTTGGTTGGTGACTGGAAGTGGGGCAAATCCAGACCATTTGGGATGTCTGCCCTCATGTGCATGACCTTTATAGTGAAGTTGCATAATAAGTAAGAGACTCTTTTACTTGAAAGACTTTGCATATAGAAGAATTTTGATCTAGTGATCATTCAACACTTTTTTTCTGAAGAACTTGTTTTATTTTGTTCTCTGTCTATGGTATAAAAATACCTTAAGCTTTTAAGAAATTCCACCCTCTCTGGGCTCCTTTATCCCCTCATTATTGATGTGTGTAGGGCATTGTGACTCACTTCTGATAAAGAGGATTCCATGTTCACTTTCAATTCATATGTGTCTACACAGTTTCTAGAAATATGTTTTCTTACTTAGTAATTTAAATAAACTGGTTCTGTAGCCAAGGGGGACCCTCTGCAGCTGTGGAATTGGAGGCAGGATTTGCCCTTTAGGTAAATGGTTTAGCACATTAACTACCACTACTTGAATTCAGGGGACCCAAACAATTATATTATGAATTAAAATGAAATTTTCCCCCAAACAACTTCCCCTTGGGGTTGTAGGATTTTTTTTTGATTGATTTAATTATTTTGTCTTGTACTAAACTAAACTAATTGGAGATTCATGTCAGAAAAAGGTATTTGAAATAATTTTAAGTTTCTGACTCTCAAGAACAAAAACCATAACAAATAGAGTTTGTTATATTATTTACAAATTCATCTTGTCATGACTGGTTACAGAGGTGCCATCTGCTGCTCCATAGCTAACATTCAGTTGACTATTTTACATTAAAATAAGGATTAAACTTTTGTTATGTGTGAAGAATAACAATCTCCTCAAAATTACATATCTTAAATTTTAAATACATTATTTTTTCTGAAAATTGACAAGTAAATTTGTGAACGTCTTTTGTTCCATTCTTAAATGGAGCATCCTTTCTCAAATATCCTCAGAGTAAGCATGTGCTATCTGCTTTAAAATTGGTAGAGATTTAGTGAAATGGGTATTTTTTCCTCCAAGAATAATGGTCACTCTTTGCTGTTACTCTTTCTAACTAAAGTTTTGCCTTTTAGCAGAGGCTGGCACAAAATCTTCAGAGAAACTCAGCAATGTCTATTTAAAAATAGTGGCCATCTCCTATTGCTTTCAATGTAATTGAGGCCACAGGCTACTCTTAGCAAATATTAAACAACAAATAGTTCTGCAGCGCCTTAGAGACTAACAAAACATGTAGATGGTATCATGAGCTTTCATGGGCATAACCCACTTCTTCATCTGAAGATGTGGGTTGTATCCACAAAAGCTCATTTTACCATTTACATGTTTTGTTAGTCTCTAAGGTTCTGCAGGACTATTAGTTGTTTTCCAAGTTACTAACATGGCTACCCCTCTGAGATTTCTTAAGCAAATATGGCCATCATCTTCCTTCACCTGCTAGTCTCTCTTCTAACTCCTGGAATGCAAACATCTTCCTTGAGGGCACCTAGGGTACGTCTAGACTACAGGGTTTTGTCGACAGAAGCTTTGTCGACAGATACTGTTGACAAAGCTTCTGTCGACAAAGAGCGTCTAGACTACATTCAGTTCTGTCGACAAAGCAAGCTGCTTTGTCGACATAACAGTGTGGACGCAAAGGACAGTTTAGATGCAATAATGCCTTATGTCGACAGAACTCTGTCGACAAAAGGCGTTATTCCTCGTAAAATGAGGTTTACCAGCGTCGACAAAACTGTAGACGCAGGTTTAGTTTTGTCGACAAAAGTCCACTTTTGTTGACAAAACCCTGTAGTCTAGACACACCCCTAGGCTTCAATCTCCTTCAGAACAATAGGAATCTGTAACTGTTTTCAACCCTGTGAGGGGAAAAATTCAATATAAATCCTGAAGAATAAGCATTAAGTCTCATTAATCATAATTATGACAGTACTGCATAGCACTGTTCAACTTGTTTTTGCTTTTCCACTCTTCAGCCTGCATTCTCATTTCTGAATTTTAAATTCAGCATTTCCTACGTTTATAACATTTGGTTTGGAGATAGGGATAATATCTCTCTAATGTTTTTAACACTAAATTACCAATATGTACCATCGACCGTAACTCTTTCTTTATGTTGCATTTATCTAGGAATTACTATGGATTCTAATTTCTGAGGTTTTTGTAAGTTTCAGTCTGTACATAGGATGGGGGAGCAAGAAAGAGAGACATTGGAGCAGCAGGAGAAAAGAGCAGAAGGACATTGACCAATATCTATATATTAGAAATGTCTATCTGTACATCTGTTTTGAGTCTGTCTGTTCAAGAACTCCTCCTAAATGCTAAGAACTGTGTTGGGAATAATTCTTGGACACACTGGGTGCAGGTGAAAACAAGGAGAGGATTTATTGGTTCACACAGCTGGTGGAGTACTCATCAGGGGTTAACCAGGTGAGCACTAATTTAACCAAAACATACATTAGATTATATAGGTAGCAGATGGATGGAGAAGTGATTTGATAGGTCTAGCAGCGGAAGTGAGATATGCACATAAGCCAATGGTCTACAACAGTTACACAGCATCTCCGCCCATTACCAATTAAACATATTATCACTAATACAGATAGTTATTCCTCACAAGCTAAATAAGCCTACATAAACAAAGGCATTGATGGTCATTTTGTCGGCCGGAAATATAATGTGTCTCCTGTGGGGGTGGTATTGCCTTGGCGCGATCTTTGGGATCCAAGCTTATTTTCTAGAAACAAAGCAGACAATGAAAAACAATCCTGTGCGGTTGTTTGGTTGTTTGGTACCAGCCTTATCAAAGTGAGGCCCTTTTAGAATGTGTTTGCCAGGGGAACCAGGGTCACAATAACTGTTGAACTGTTTTACTTCCCAAGCTGGCCTAATACTTTCAGGTTTGAGTTTGTCAGTTCTCAGCAAGATACCATGGACTGCCTCAATTTACCCTACAAACTGCAACCACCAAATTCGGTATGTAGCTTCCTCTTATACTAATGTAAAACAAGGTCGGGTTTGGCTGTGCCAGAAAAAGGGTATGTCCCCCGGAATGGGATGGTTTTCCCTGACATGGAAAGGGAGGGGACTGCTGGAAGGGACACTCATGCTGCAGAAAGACCACAGAGGGGCGGCCACACCAGTGACTGGCTAGGGGAGGGGATCTGCATGTTGTCAGCCAGGCCACTGTCCACAGTAAGGTTCCAGTGCTGGTGCTGGGAAGGTTCTCCCCCTTTCGTCTTCACTCCCTCCCCAGTCTGACAAATTATAGGGCTTTACAGAACTGAGGGTCCTTCCCAGCTTCTGCAGGGGTCTTTGCTGGCTATTCTCCTTTGTCAGGAATGAGGGGAAACTGCATAGTTTTCTCCATTCCTCATTCTGGCTTGAGAGTGCAGGGGAGAGTTGAACCTGGACCTGCTTCAGCTGGGAAACATGCACTTCTCCCCCCCCGCCCCCGTCCCCCCCCCTGTGTCCACTGGAGCTGCAGCAGCCATGGACAGGCACTTCTCACCTGTCTTCAAGTTGCTGTGATGAGAGCTCTGGGGTAGTCCCCTCTCCCTCGGGCAGCCTGCATACTGAGCCCCTCATTCCCAGCTCCACTCCAGTTCATTAAGAATGATTTAAATAAGAAAAAATAATTGAGTTAAGGACCCGAGCAACACTAGGTAAATCTTCCAGTAGAATATAACAACATGCAGTAAAATGGGGTATTCATTAACATATTAATCTGATTCCTGAGCTTTCCAAGGCAAGTGGTATCCTGCTTCTCAAAACAGAGACCAATAGAATCTTTATGTATTTACTTCACATACCTTTTAATCTGAGCCATTTTTTAATAATAAGGTACATTACCGTTAGTTGTATGGTCCAATATCACAACTAGTATGCATAGACACTCTGACATTGTGTTTTACTTTATCTTTAGAAAAGATATCCAACATCATGTTTGGTGCTTAAAGATGGCAAAATTAGTAGAATTTTTCTCCTGGAAGTGAACAGACAAATTATAAAATGTTAATGGAAGTCAGTCATGCATTCAGGGAAGAGGAATCCTTAGGAAATGTGCTTTTTCCCCCTCTTGGATTGTATGTCTATTAATGCATCAGTAATCTGATACGTACAACTCAAACTGTGAATCTTTGCTTACAGCAGAGAAGTTCCTCCACAACTGTGTTCCACTATATTTGACGGTTCAGTGCATGTATGTTCAAGAAAGGGATGGGGGGAAAGGGGTGAAGAATGTAGCATTTGGTAGGAGCTAAATCTTTACAGCCTCTGCATACTGATCAGGACTGTCACTAGAAGGTGTGGCACCCGGCTTCACCCCTCTCCACTTCTGCTCTGTCCCTGCCCCCATTCCACGCTCCCCTAAGTCCTCCCACTGTTCCACTCCCCACCCCATCTCTTCCTACCACTGCTCCACACTCTCCTGTCCCTATTACACCCCCGAAGTCCCCTCCTCTGAGAGGCATGACCTTGAGGATTACCAGGGAGCCTGATATACAGGACACTAGCAGGGTTTGGCCACCCGACATTCATTGTGGTGGCAGGAGTTGGGAGACACAGATTCACCCAGAAGCCTGCTCCGCTCTGCTGCCCATCTCACAGCTAGGTTGCTCCACTTCACTGTGGTGTCAGGAAGAAGAGCACCATGACCCCGGCCCCTACTCTGCTCCCCTGAACCTGCATCTGTCTCTCTCTAAAGTCTGTACAAGTAATGTAAATTGGGAATATTTTATTTGCCTACTCTGAATAACTACAGTCAAATCTCCAAGTTATGGGGACTGCGGCAAAGTCTTCACGCAGGCCCCTTGCTCTAGGACCCCTTCTTTGCAGAAGAGAGGGTCTCTGGTTGATTTGTGGTCAGTCACCCATGCCTTTATTCCCACCATCTTCTATTTACAGAGCTTTGTTTGTTCCTTCCTGCAGTAACCTCTGCTAGCATCACCTCCTGGCTTGGGGGGGGGACACACTCAGCCAGTCTCTGACACCTCCTACTTCCCCCTCAACTGTTTCTCTGGCAGCTTTATCTAGCCCTCTGGCTAATGAGGCCCACAGCTGTTTCCCCTTAGCCCCTCAGACATGAGCTTGCTCAGCTGACTTCTGTTACCTTTTTCAGACAGGTTGTAGTGGCAGCAGCTTGTCACGTGTTCTCCCCACCCCCATGAACCACCAGGTTGGGGCCGGTCCCAGCCCTCTCAGAAGCCCCTACCCCAATGCCTCCTGCAGCTGAGTGAGCACATAGGGTGGCCTGCCAGTCCTTAAAGCTCTCTGCCCCTGGGGGTGGCCCACCCACTTCGTCACAGGGTCCTTGTAGGGTGGTCCCTCTCTCCAGGCTGGGTAATCCCTGGGGACCCTGTTGTACCATCCGTGGGTCACTCTTCAGGGCAAACCCCTGCTTGTGCCCAGCGACAACTTTGGGAGGCTCCTTCATTCCCTCCCCACAAAAATTACAGTGGCAGGGGTCCAGCCCATAAAATTCAGCCTCACCCACAGGTCCTCACACCAAATGCACCCCCGTCAGGTCCCTTCCTCCAACATTGCTTCCATCAGCACTGGGGGGAGGGGGATGGCCTTGGCATCTCCTCTTCTGGAGAGAGATCCACTTGCCCCTCCCCCCCACCCTTGGAAGGTACTAGGGCTACCCATTTCCCCCAAACACATTTCCCATCTGTCTATCCCACAGGGTTAGGGCACTGCCCTGCTATGTGCTCTAGTTCTCAGTTCCTATAGCATTGACAGCTATGCTTCTGTCTCCCTTGGGGGGACCTGTTGCCTTTCCCTGATGCTCCTCTCTCTCAGGCAGGTTGGTCCCAGTTCTGACCTATCCCTGCCAGGTATGGTAGCCACTTCACTACCTCCACCCACTTCCTCCGGAATCTGCCCCTCGCTTCCATTGGTACCTGGGCAGGACCTTTTGTCTCCATAAATGCATTCTAGCATCACCTGTGCTCCCAGGACTATCCAGTGTGGCCTCACCAGCTCCTTCTGCACTAGCAAGAAGTCCATTAGCCTACCCAGGGCCTTTCTCCCCACCTACACAGGATAGTGAGCAGACTCTGCCTCTTACCAGGTCCTCCCTTCTGAGTCAACCCACAGAACCCTGCATACCCACACTCCATACTGCCTGGGCAGTTCCACCTCCTATGCCCTGCCCTCCTGCACTACCAGCAGGTAACTGTGCTGGGCCTCACAGGCGCCCCTCAGTGTCCTTACTTCCTCTCCAGGCCTTTCCCAGAAAGGGGCTTCCTTCACAGGTCCTTGTCCTTGTAGGGTTGGCCTTCTCTCTGGGGAACTTCTGCCTGAGTATACTCCTCCACCAACCTGACCGCTGCATCCTCTGTGTCAGGCTGGTGGCGCCTGACTCACACGGATATTTTCTGGCAGGGCTTGCAGCAACTGGTTGAGTACAACCATGTCCATTATTTACCACACTGTCTGCGTCTTCAGCCTCAGCCAGAGGGTTGCCCAGTCTGCTAACTTCTGGCCAAACACTGAGGGCCTCACTGCTGCTGTCCATCATGCTGACCAAAACTTCTAGCGATATTTATTCATGACAGACCCACCCAATCAAGAATTGCTGTCCTCACTGCCCCATAGTTCCACGTTTGTTTGTCCCCCAAGGCCACATAGGCTTCTTGAGCTTCACTCACCAAATAAGAAGCCAGACAAAGGGCCTAGGTAGCCCTCACACTTAGTGCTCATGGCTACCTGTTCAAGTGTCCCCAGAGAAGCTTCCAGGTCATCTGCTGGGCCCATTTTAGAGTCCCAGGTTTGGCAGCTGGTTGCCATCTCTGCCCTGGGACCTACGCACTTGCTGCAGGAGTTGCTACTGTGCTATGCTCTGCTTCTTGATAAAGTCCTGCAGGCTTTGTTACTGCTCTGCCTGCCAGGTTAGCAAGGCTTGTCTCTCCAGTCGGTGGGACTGCTGGAAACTTTCACGGCCTGCTGTACCTGCTTTTGCTGTTTCATGAGCTACTGAAGGGTCTCCTCTATCTCTGTGCAGCCAGCCACATTTGCTGGGGCTGGATCTTAGTCCTGACATCACATATGGCAAAGTCCTCCCTCACCCCATGACTCCTTCTTCTGCCACAAATCAACCAGAGACCCTCTCTTGTGTAATCACCCATGCCTTTATTAACACCACCTTCTATTTACAGAGCTTTGTTTGTTTGTGTTGCATGCTCAGCTACCCTCACCACCTGACTGGGGAACATCCTCTGCCACTCCCTGTCAACTGCCTCTCTGGCAGCCTTGTCTAACCTGCTGGCTAATGAGGCCCACAGCTGTTTCCCATTAGCCCCTCAGGCTTGGCCTTGCTCAGCTGGCTTCAATTGCCTTTTTCAGCGAGGCTGTAGTGGTAGAGTTCTGGTTTAGTCACCAGCTTGTCACAGGGCCTATGAAATGCATGTGGTCAGTAACTCTGAAATTTTCACACTAGAACCTCAGAGTTATGAACTTACCAGTCAACTGTATACTCATTTGGATTTGGAAGTACACAATCAGCCAGTAACAAAGACATCCCCTCTCCAAAAGAGCAAATATGGTGAAAAAAAATAAAGGCAAAGTTTGAATTTTTTTGAGAAGGTAAGGAAACTGACTTTGTGCTTGTTTCATTTAAATTAAGATAAAACTAAAAAGCAGTCATGTAGCACTTTTTTGTGTGTGTTACCACAATCAGACTAACATGGCTACCTCTCTGTTAATTTAAATTAAGATGGCATTTTTCTTCTGCATAGTAAAGTTAAAGTTTTATTAAGTCAGTTGTGAACTTTTGAAAGAACCATAATGTGTTGTTCAAAGTTATGAACAGCCTCTATTCCCAAGGGCTATGTCTAGACTGGCCCCTTCTCCGGAAGAGGCACGCAAAGCAGGCAAGTCAGAATAGGGAAATCTGCGGGGACATGGCCGCCGCTTTTTTTCCGGCTTGGGGAAAAGCCGGAAAAGAGCGTCTAGACTGGCGCGATCCTCCGGAACAAAGTCCTTTTCCGGAGGATCTCTTATTCCTACTTGCAAGTAGGAATAAGAGATCCTCCGGAAAAGGACTTTGTTCCGGAGGATCGCGCCAGTCTAGACGCTCTTTTCCGGCTTTTCCCCAAGCCGGAAAAAAAGCGGTGGCCATGTTTATTTAAATCCCGCGGGGGATATTTAAATCCCCCGCGGATTTCCCTATTCTGACTTGCCTGCTTTGCATGCCTCTTCCGGAGAAGAGGCCAGTCTAGACATAGCCAAGGTGTTTTGCAACTTTGAGGTTTTACTGTGATTTTTTTTTTCTTTCAAAAATTTACAACTGAACATTAATTTAATACAGATCAAAACTTGAATATGGAGAAGAAAATGCCATGTTTTCTCTTTTTTGGTAGTTATGTTACACAGTACTGTACTCAATTTGCTTTTGTTTGTTTGTTTTTTTTGTGTTGTCACTGCTGCTGTTGCCTGATTGCCTACTTACGGTTCCAAATGAGGTGTGTGGTTGACCGGTCAATTCATAACTCTGGTGTTCTTATTTCTGACATTCTCCTCTATGCAGTTGGACCTTCTCTCCTAATTAGCTGTGATATTCAGCGTAGGAAGAAGAGCAAGATTTGTCCACTTCCTGAATATATGGCTAGGCCACTGGTTGGAGTCAGCTAGGGACATGGCCTGCTATCCATGCGAACCTATGCTCATACATATTTTAATACCAGAGTTATGCTGGTATTGCTACTTATTGAGGCTTGAACTCAGGGGGGTGGACAGAATGGCCAGCTCCTTGGGCAAGGTGAGGGGGACCCCCTCCATGCTCTCAGAAAGGATGGGGCCTCAGGTGGATGGGACAGGGCTGAGGCAACCAGCCCTCAGTGTCATTCAGACCATGATATGTGGGGAGATTTAAAGGGCCTGGGGCCCTTTGGAAGTGACAGGCCCTGAGGCAATTGCCCCTTCTTCCCTGCTCCCCCTTCTCCACTGGTGGGCTTGCTGGAACCTAAGTCTAAATGTCACTGAGACAGTTTCAGACTTTGTAGCAGTCAGACATATTAGGAGGCAACCCTATAATTTTGTCCTCAACTAAAATTAGTGTCTGACTAAATGCAAAGCACCATAGATAATAGCGTCTGTCAGGTGGAGGCGGAAACACAGACTACATTTATGCTTGCGTAATTTGGACCTCACCCAGAATTACACACAGCATGATTTTCCAAAAATATTTTATGTAATCTTCCCCTAATAGTCTCAGATGGGTAGCCATTTTAGTCTGTATCTGCAAAAACAATGAGGAGTCCTGTGGCACCTTACAGACTAAAGCTTATGCCCTAATAAATCTGCTAGTCTCCAAGGTGACTCCTTGTTGTTCTTCCCCTAATAGTAAAGGTTAATTTAGGTATCAGACAGGAGAGGTATTTTCCTCTGTAATGATCCACACTTGAAAAACACACTTTTAAAAAGGAAACAAGCATACTCTAAATCTTTTTCTTATTGTGAAAGCTATTGTACTTGAATCATTGATCATCTAAAAAAGAACCTGTGTGACAAATCCCATTAATTAGTTATTGTCTTTTTTCAGAATTTAACTTGGCACGAAAGATGGGTGGGAGTGTTGTACCAAATAAAAGCAAGCAGGATCTTATGAGGGGGATAAGGCAAAAAGCCACATTTATTGTAAAGATAATAATAAAAAATAAAGAAAAGATAGAAGCAAACAACGTTGTTTAACTACTTATTCCTAACACTACTTAACCCTTATACACTTATATATATATATATAAACCATTCATTCATACATCCATTCATTCAAGTTCTGTGTATAGTTACCAGCCTGGAAGTTGCTTGTGACAGGATACTGGCCAGGTACTCTGTACACAAGTGATGGTAGTGGGGAGCGAAGTCCTGATCAGATGCGCATCTGAAGCTCCTGGTAGGCTGGCAGCAGAACCTTGGACTCTGATTCCATAGTTTTTTAGTCCAGTTCTTATAGGAATTTCTTCCTATGCCAGTCTATGGAAATTGCTGCATCATGCTGATGTCTCCAGGGTGGCTGCCAGGTGCTCATCAGTGATCTCATCGGGTGGACCTCCAGTTTCTCCACTTGACACCTTTTGGTTGCACTGGCACCTGACGCCTTCTTCAGCCCTTTGTTGCTGTATTCTCAGGCTGGCACCTCTCAGAACCATTCACTCATCATCCAAGCACTCTCTCATACATTCATACAGTATTTTGTATAATAATAAAAGTTGTAGTTACAGAAAGTTTCTGGGTGGTATTGCTTAAAACATTCTCTGAGTGCTGAATAAAGTTACAATGTTTTAAAGAGAACAGGCCTCAATTAAGTAACAATGGCCTTAGTCAATTACAGGGCTTGGCTCCCATAGCAGAGTTAGTGGCTTGACAATGCATTGTTACAATGTATCTCTGCAATGTCAATTTCAAGCAGCCCCTTGCACAAGCTTGAGCATGCCCTGGAGCACAGAGGGGGGGAGGGGGCTGTTTCTGGCTACATAGGATTATATTCTTAACAGTTAGGATTATATTTTTAACAGTTCTAAGTTACATGACCTAATACATTATATTCTAAAGGGACAATAATAATAATAAATCTAAACATTTAACAATCTTAACAAATAATAATAATAAGAAGAAGAATTAATAATAAATCTAAACAATTTAAGTTGTGGGGAACAAATTATGGGGAGTCACTTCCATTTGGGGGAATCACATTTTTAATACATTAATATGTTACCCCTACAGGAGGGAGGAAAAGGGAGGAGAGAAAAATGAAATTTGACATTTTGTTTATCCAGGGTCAGCTTTGCAAACCTTGGCACTGTGGTTGTACCCACAAAAATGTATGCACATATGTTGCACTTGCAAATTGAGTAATTGCATATTTAGCTTGTTGTTTGTTTACACAGTTCCTTGTGTGGGAGCAAATACAGGGTTTGGTTGGCAGAAAGGATATGAACACATTATTACTGACGTTACTACTGAGAAGATAACTGTCCTGATTTCTGAACCTGCTCTTTTGCTTGAACTTAAACTAGTGTATGTCTCTGGGGTCTTGTCTTTGATAGGGATTTCAGCCTTTGGTTGCCAAGTAGCAGTGCAAACTGCCTAACACATGATTTTCACCAGTAGGGGTCATTCCTGTTTGAAATGGGGGTAAATGACACTATTACAAATTATGATATAGAGCAGATATGTCACATGAATACACCTCCGGCTGGCAATCAGTGGCTGAAACTTGGGTAAATTGCCAATGATGCTTTTGGTTTTTGACTACTACATTTACATTTGTAAGAACACTGCCTGTCTGCATAGGCAGCAACCACTTTGTTCTCAGAGCTTGCAGCCCCTTGCATGAGGGAGAGAGAGAGATTGATTGATTGATTGATTGGGCTTTCTTTCACTGACAAATTACTTTTCCTTAAGTTAAAATAAAAATAATTTTAGCTTATGCCTGCTTTTCTTCCCTGGGAAAAATACTGTACCCCAAAATCCTGCCCATTGAATGCTGCCTGAAGACTTTGAGCATTGGTTAGTACATTCGTGGCAAGAAGTCCTGTGGCACCTGTGGTTACTACATTGTAGATAGATACCCAAGCAGTTCAATAAAATTCATAGTTATTTCATTTTTGAAACTTTATGCTTCTTGAATTATGCCATTAAGTAACCTAAACACCTTTTTGTGATCAGATTTAGAAACTTGGTTGTGTTTTCAGACCTCCCAAGTTAGTAATGGTTACTAAACAGTAGCGCTCCCCCAATGTAAGTCATAGCCATCACTACTGCTGCTTTCACAATAACCACCAACACTGCTGTCTATGTCCTCCCTCTTTGAAGTCTGTGACTACAACCATACAGATGTTGTGGTTACTGCCATGATACACCTGGTGAAAATCATCCTCACTGAGGTGGGGGCAAGCTGTGCAGGGGGATGCTAAGTTCCCATACAACTGCTTACAGGGAATGAGGTAGGAAAATGCGGGAAGCTGATGTATCTTTGCAAACAGTTGTTAGTAGCTGTTAAATTAAGCAGAGTAAATGCTACCTGGGCTATTCTTCCTCTCCTACTTTCCCCTGGATAAGGCTCTCATTTGTAGACTTCCTGGTTACCAATCTGAAAAACAGACTTTCTATTTCAAATATACCAATAAATAAACATACTCATTACACTTTAAAAACAACTTCCTGCAATTACCATTGTGGTAACAAGGCATAATGCAATTATACAGTTAGTGGTAAGTGTTTTTACCATTATATAACTAGTGAAAAAATATAATAGTGAGATAAAATGTAGCTTTCCAAATATGTTCTTTCTATTATTAAATTTGTTTGTGGTCTGTGATATCTGTGGGAGACTCCTAAATCACTTAAAGATTGCATCTCTGAGCATATATCTGTAATTAAATGGCATTCTTACCAACTGGCAAGATGTGTGTATGTGTGTGCGTGCGTGCACACTTGTGGCTTGAAAGGCTTTGAACATACAGTACTTTGAGACCTAGGAAAGTGTGTGTAAGTAGGGGAACAGATTTAAGAGTCTATCTGGAGAAAGAGCTTCAGTACTTTTGGGCCTTAACAGAGAATCTTGCCAGAAATATAATTGTTTAATTTTTTTTATTACTTTCAACAGGGGGTTGGAACAGGAGGTCTCAACTGGAGAACCTACTGTATTTATCCTTTATTCCTCTTCTGTGTAGTTAATCTAATAAATTAAACTAAATTTTTGGATGAAAGAATTTTTTGGCAAATAAAATAATTGTCAACCTGAAACTACTGATGAATTTGACATGAATTTACCTAACAGTTTTTACCAGATTTTTTTTCAGGCTAGCTAGAAGGAGGAAGAGGTGGTGGTGCTGCTACTCTTATATAGCTTTTAGTACATTGGTTAAGGCATTCACATGGGACAGGAGATATCTGGGTTCAATTGTCTTTTCTGGAGTGGGATTCGAGTTGGCATGTCCCACATCTCAAATAAATAAATGTACTAATCACCAACATAAAAGCAATAATGTGGGCACCATCACCATTACCTCCTTTCTTTTTTGAATTTAAGCTTATAAAAGTGCCCATAAGTAAGTTTCAAGTCCAACACCATCTTTTGTTCAACCCCAAAGGTATGTCTACACTACAGGACAAAATCAAATTAAGATATGCAACTTCAGTTATGTGAATTGCATAGCTGAAATCGACGTAGCTTAACTTGGCTTTTGACGCTGTCTACGTTGAAGAAAGTTGAAGGAAGAATAGTCTTCCTTGGACTTCCCTTACTCCTTGTGAATGCTGGGCTACTGGCATTAACCGGAGTACCCCTTTCACTTTGAATGAGCTGTCTTAGAGTGCTAATTCAAACCCTGGAAGATCTTTGATCTTCCTCTGTAGTGTAGACATACCCCAATGGACTGCTTTGATGTTTTGGGTTTGTTTTGACCCAAACAAATCTTTTTGTTCAGTTTTTTTGGACTTCACAGCACCCCCCCCCTTCCAATCAGATAATTGCCTAGCTCTGTCTATACTGTATCCTTTCTTAGAGGCAGGTTCACAGATGTTAGCAGTCTGCTGCTGCTTCCAACTATTAAATGCTGCTAATGGTCAATGCTGAAGATCCCAGAGAATTTTTAAACCCTGTGGATGTGATTAGTTTCAAATGTTCAACATTTAGAAGTGCATACTTGTTACTTCCAGATTACAATAGGAGCTTCAACGAAATTCAGTTTATAACAGCCACAGAGAATGGTATTTTTCAGTTGTGAATATGCTAGTAGTTAAAGGTGTTTGGGGGAGAATTAAAATTCTGAATTTGCTTGTTGTCTGAATGTGTAGTTAGTGTTGCGTGAGAGAAATTTTTCTACCAAGAACTTCCCATTAGTAATTTTTTGTTTGTTTTTAAATAACTTTTTATTTTGGATATCTGAATAGTACTGTTTCAGATTTGTATGCCTAGATTTAAAAAAAAAATCATATCCCAGAATGTAATTTATCAGAGTATGGTAGGTGGGGAGAAGCTTGAATAAGAGTTGAGGGAGGCAATCAGATCCCATTATTCATTCTAATCGCTTCGCCCCTCCCCCCCATAATTGCTGTCCTCACCTTAGTTTGAGACATGTCAGTCGTTGCCGCTGAGTCTTCATTTTTTATGACTCTCTATTTGTTTCAGGCTGAAACAGTCTCACCTAAGCATGTGACCCTGTACCAAGACCTCTTTGTTCATTATGTAGATTTATTTATTTTTGTCTCAAGGGCATTTACCTACTGGAATGTGTTTGTATGTTTAAGTTCCAGGACTGGGACTTGATTCCTGGGGTCCATTCCTAGCTCTACAAGAAATAGATAAGTATTTTAACTTTTGCCTCTGCTTGCACACAGATAAGTCTCTAACTGCTAGAACTGTTATGAGCCTTAGTTTAATGTGCATGAAGTGCTTTTTGAGATCGTTGGGTGCTATAATAGTGAAATGTGAAAAACCAGAACTCAGAAGTGCCAGAAATGTAATTAATAGTTACCACTTGTTGGTTATTTGCAGGTCTTTTGAACGAAGTAAAATAGCTTCGCAGACTTCAGGATTGAGTCCATAATGTTTTATCCATGACATAAATGACATGACGTGTTTAAAAACAAAATATTTCTTTTCATGTCTAATATTATATCTATCCTCAACTACAGAATTATTAAAATGTCCCCTACATAATTAATAATGATAGCCATTTTTATGAATTTTGAGTCAAAAATCCCCCAAAGGATTTGGACCCATTATGCTAGGCACTGGTGCAAATGTTCAGTAAGACACTCTCTGCCATTGTGAGATCAGTCTGTTTTCCTTACTTACCCTGCTAAAGTTACTTGTCTAGGTCAGAAGCAAGAGAATATTTTTTTTATTTGTTCCCTATCCCCCTGCCTGGGAGGGAGGCTTCTTACTGCATCGCTGTGGGGTCAGCTGAGTCACTAGGGTTGCCAGGTGTCTGGTATTGACACGGACAGTCCAATATTTTCGCCTCCTGTCCAGTTAAAAAAAGGTCAGAAAATACTGGCTACCTAAAATGCCCAGTATTTTCTGATTTCCCCCCCAGCCAGGAGGTAAAAATCCCAGGTGCTTACCTGGTTCCGCAGGGGAGCTGTCTGGCCTGGAGCAGGAAGACAAGATGGCGGACGGCTGTTAGTGCCAAAAAGCTTCAAAGGCATTTCTTAAAGGGGCCACACTTTTTCAAATTATTTTTTAATTTTTTTGCTTAACAACTCTTGGGGTCCTTTTACTTTGGCTCCCCCCCCCCTTTTTTTTTTCAACAGAATTTTTTCCCAAGTGTGTGTTTTTGGGTGTGTGTGTTTGGTATTTTTGGTTAAACCATCTGGCAACCCTATGAGTCGAAGGGTAATTAGTGAATCATGGGCTACGTCTGTGGGGACTGACCATCAATGAGGACAGAGCAGCAAACAATCTAGGGAGCTTTGCAATGAAGGGCAGTAAGCAGTCTTTTGCCTGGCCATCTGGCTTAGGCAGGTGGTGAATAAACACAGGTTTCTTGACCTAAGGTGGATAGGCAGCCACCTCGGGGTGGGATGGGATGGCCCCACAGAGTTGAAGGATGCAGGCTCACCACCAGGTCCCAGTCAACGGCACTGATAGTGGCAGAGAGTTTCACCACTGGGTCAGTGGGGACCCTACCAAAACATACCAACGTGAGCACCAACAATGAAGCTTTCCCCGGATTGCTTCGGATCACAATCTGGGGAGAGGCCATGGGTGGCAGGTGAACCTACTGCTAGAGGAGGCAAACTGCCACTCCAGTCCCTTCTTTCTGAGGTCCTGCCCTTGCCACTCAGAGCCCTGTGGGAGCCAAGTGCCCTCCCACTGTAGGGGCAGGCTACCCCTCCCCTAGCAGGCTGTGGTCCCTGCATGGTCCCAACCTTCCCTCCACCCCAGCCCAGGAGCATGGGAGGAAAGGTGGGCAGGAAGATTGCACATGGCCTCAGACTTTCCCAGCCCTGGCCAGATGATGGACAGCCGCAACCAGATGACACAAGAGGGAGGGGCAGCTCATAGCCGCAGCCTTCCCCAGAGCATGGGGAGGATGGGTCCCCAGTCCTGAAGGGTATGTGGCAGGCAGCTTCCCCGGACCTGAAAAGCAGGCAGCGCCTGGCTGCAGGATCCCCAGCCTCAGCAGGGCTGAAGTTCAGATAGTGCCAGGAAACAAGGTGAGATCTGCTGAACGGGCGGGTGGGGACTGTAGGTGGAGTGTGGGCAGGGCTGGGCTAGCAGTTTCAGAAGGCATTGCCTTCCCCTGCCGCAGGGGAGGGGTTCCAGCTTCCAGAGGTCTTTAGTCTCCTTAGTCAACCTCTGTCAGGCTCAGCAGCATCTCCCTAGACACCATCTCCTCTGGTTGCAGGATTGGAAACCTGCAGCAGGCTAGAGGCATCTGTCTCCTTCCCTGGCTCCCCTCCAACTGAACTGGAGGCCCTGCCGCTTATACTCCCTATTTCTTCTCTCAGCTTCCAGCTGGAGGGCTAGGCCTGGCCTATCTCCACCCACCTAGGCATACAGCATGGCCCCTCTCTCTCTCTGGAGAGGTCACTCCATCTCACTAGAGGGTCCAATAAAATTATGCAGTACCAAAGCTTGAGATCCTTAATCAAAATGTACTTTGCCTTTAGCCTGCCTGATTTCTGCTTGTTGAAATGCATTGTTTGATTCAGAGCATACCTAGTTAAGGAATGAATAAAAGCTGAGGGCTGGATTGGAGTACCAAAGTGAGGAGAGTCCCTGTTTTGAGGCTGTCCCCCAGCTTGTGCCTTTAGCATAGGCTAAGCTCAGCTACAGTCCTTGTGACCCTCTGAATACAATGGCTATTCAAGGCTAAGCCAATAGTGCTGTTGGTCCAATCCACTCTTGGGGTGTGTCTAGACTACAGGGTTTTTTAGAAAAAAGTGGCCTTTTTTCGAAAAAACTTCCCCTGCATCTAGACTTCTGCCGCATTCTTTCAAAACTAAATTGAAAGAACGCTGCAGTTTTTTTGATAGTGGAAAACCTCGTTTTATGAGGAATAATGCCTTTTTTTTGAAAGTGCTCTTTCGAAAAAAGGCACTACGTAATGCAAGCTGTGCTTTTTCGAAAGTACTGGCTGTAACCTAGAGGCTCTTTTTCGAAAGAGGCTTTTTCGAAAGTACCTTTCAAAAAAGCCTCTTTCAAAAAAGGCTTGTAGTCTAGACGTACCCTTGTGGATACAGAGCTAACAGGCTTTCCCTTCAGTCAATTTGTCCACACTAGCCATCAAAGCAGGCTGCACTCAAAGGGATGTACATGCTGAACCCTCTAAAAGCATGACACAGGTGCTAAGTTCTCTGTGAGATGATGTGCCTCAGTCAGGGACAGTGACTCCTGCAACTTTTGTTGAGAACACAGTGGCTCCTCTCCTACCTTACCTGCAATGCAGGGCTAGGCCTCTTAGGCACCATTGGGCTATGCATGAAAGCTTAGGGATTTGGACTATCTATCTCACTTCTATTTCAGTAGATAACTTTACATATTTACAAATACCAAATAGATTTAACTGCATCCTTTTAATCTCAGGTAAGGGCCCTAGCCATCCAACATCCAGTTGACTAGGCCATGGATAAGTGTTTTTGAAAGGGAAAGGGAGATGTGTGGTTGGTTTTACATACTGCTATTTTGTGATTGTCTGCCGCTTGTGCATGCACCCTGACGGGGCGGGGCAGTTTGTATGTTCTTATGATCCCAGGAGCTATGCCGGCGGGAGCTAAGTGCTTCTGGTAGATTCAACCTGTCCGAGACAGAACATCAGAAATGGCTGCCCGTCGCAGGGAGCCATAGCCTGTAATACCTCTGAGGCTGGTATAGGGGGCTCTGTCTGTGAGGTGGAGTGTATTCCATATAAGGGCATGTAAAGTAATAATCTTCCCCTGCTCGCTCCACCCATTGCAGTAAAAGATCAGCCAATGGGCTGACTTGTGCTCAGGACTGCTACTCCACCCACTGCAGCAAAAACCAACCTATGGGGTGATAAGTTCACAGGCAATAAAACAGGCAGTCAGCCCCTGTCTCACTGGGGATTCGCATCGAGTGAACGCCTGGCCTGATCACCCAGATGCCTTGCACCCCCCGCTCTCGAGTCTTACTGAGCGTACTCCGAGTTGGTCGACCCGAGTGGAGACAGTTTATGAGCGTGTGACCGGTACTTGTGTTCCTGCTGTCTCCAGAACTGGTATACCCCCCCCTCCCCCACCATCATCCCTATCCTAATTGATTTTTTAGTTGTCCTTATTGCTTGCCAAGTGACAGTGGCTAAAAAGTTACTAAGTTAGTTTATAAATAGTTGTGGTTTAGGTTTTTTACTGTTTCCTTGTATAAAGTTGTGTAAATAATCAGCACTATGAACAATACCAGTGTTAATTCAGCTGTTCCTAACCCCTGGGCAGTTATTGGGAATTATTGTGATTTAGAAAAGCCTCAGGGAATTGTTTTGTGTTGTCTGGCAATCTGTTTAATTTTTGTTCTGATGATTGTCTGGCATCATCAAAATAAAATCAGTTTGTGCTTTTTAAAGCCCCCAGTTGTGGTCTCATCCTTTCCGGCATCCCTTCGAACCTCGTGTATTACGGGCACTGACACAACCAAGCCGGAAAGGTCAAGGGAGAGGAGTCAGACTAAGCATGCACACCGGTCCTCCAGGATTGGGGGTTTGGCTCTCGACTAACAACCCTGACCTAGAAAAAGCTTTTGTTATGGAAACAGCAACAAATAATTCCTTCTCAACTTTGTGATGGCCTTCCAGAGTCACTTACAATGACTTGTGATAGACTGCCAGTGGTGAAAGCAGAAATGAAGCTATTGATATGAATATGGAAGTCCTGAGCACCAAGATTAAAACCAGAATTGGGTTCTGGAATCTACGTACCATGTATGAAATGGGTAAGCTTGCGCAGATTACAAATGAAATGAGACGCTACAAACTACATATTCTTGGCATCAGTGAGAGTAGATGGATTGGATCAGGAAGAATTAAGATAGTACTGGTGAAACGGTCATCATCCCTTCCAGAAAAAAGGACTAGCACCATGAGAGAGTAACTATCATCCTGAAGAAAGGAATAGAGAAATGTTTGCTGGAATGGAAACCAATCAACAGCAGAATGAGAGCTAGGTTGAAAGGTAGACATGTAAATATTTAATCCAGTGTTATGCCCCAACAAATGAAAGTGAAGAAGGAAAGAAAAATAGATTCTATGAACAGCTTCAAGCTGAAATAAAAACAGCTTTACATCATGATCTCATAATAGTCATGGGGGACTTAAATGCTAAAGTTGGGAGGGATAACATGCACAATGATAGAACTATGTGGAAACATGGGTATGGTACCATGAGTGAGAATGGAGAGAGGTTAGTGGAATTCTGTACTTTAAATAATCTTGTCATCAGAGGTACTCTCTTTCCTCACTGTGAAATTCACATGGCACTCACCAGTTGATAGGGATAGTAATCAGATCGACCATCTGATGAGCAATGGATGGAAGTTCCATTACAAAGATTGCTGTGCACTGGACCCCTGAAGCCAGCGGCAGATATAGGGCAGGGCGAGCGGGGCGGCTGCCTTGGGCCCCGCATTTCAGTAGGCCCCACTTTGAAGTGTCCTTGAGCGCTTTGATGCGGCTTTTGTTCTTTCTTTAGAATGGCCGCCAAGGAGAAGCCCTTGCAGTTCTTGGAGAAGTCCATGATCCACAGGAGGAACTGGGCGGAAGCCAGCCGCTATCTGCTGGGCAGCTTCTTTTTTCTCTTTTCTTTTCACTGCCTGGGGTTGCAGATGCCCCAGCAGCAGCGACGCCCGGTTACACTGCATTCATCGCAGCGCAGAGGGAGCGCAGGTTCTCCGGCCACCAGCACCACCCTGCCCTTCTTCTTTAGAAGCCAGTTGGCTCTCCACTGCTAAGTGCTTCGAGCGGAGCCACTCTCACCCCTTTACGCCACCACTGGAAGCCAGAGCTGCTGCAGGCTGCTAATATAACCTACACCTGGACGCAACCTAATCAGCTTCCAAGCCCTCCTGTCTTGGCCTCTCTGGCTCTCCTCAAAGTGTGTGTCTGAAACACTGAAATCCCAAGAGCCACCTGAGGCCTCCCTTTATCCCACACCAGCCAGGCATCTTGATCGGAGCCGGAAGGTGTTCCTTTCTTTAGCC